GGAGATGGGTGAAAAGTCTACTAAGACTCTTTTTCTTTTCTTCTTCTTCTGTTGTTATGTTGCACATTAGCAACATATTAGTGCACGGCTGCCTCTCACTGCTTTATTCATGTCATTGGTTCCTTTGTGGCTACTTTAATATTTTAAGTAAGTGTCACTCAAAACAGTAAGTAAATTGTTTTATTTGCCTTGAAAGTAGCTATAACTTAATAAAACCTAGTAAGTATAACAACTAAGTAAAGATAACTAACTAAATCTAAGTAAGGTAAACTATTGGATTTTACAGTACAATGTCCTAGCAAACATTCAGAACACCCTAGCAACCACAAGTATTATTTTAGTAATATTTATTTGCTTTTATAGTTTGTAATTTGCATTAATGTTTTGAATTAGCTTTTATTTTTATACTTTCCGTTTTCAATTTAATTTTAGCTTCATTTTTAGAAATGTGCTTTTGTTCGTTTTATTAGCTTTTGTTTACACTATTACTATTTAGGTTTCATTTATTTTAATTTCAGTTTTAGTTTTTGCTAATTTCCCTTTTCTATTTAAAAAAATATATATTTTTAGTGCTTAAACTTATTTTACTTAGCTCCCAAAGCAACGTTTATTATAGTTTACGTAGGGATTTTTTTGGTAGCACTTTACAATAACCTTCCTTACTTAAATTAACCTTAGTTAGTTAATGCATTAACTATAGCATTACCTAACAATGAGCAATGCATTTGTTACAGTATTTATGAATCTTCATTAATGTTAGTTACCACATAGCAATGCATTAAAAGCCACTCAGGACACCTTAGAAACAGGTATAGCACTAAAACAGAACTAGTTTTTGTATTTTCTGTTTGACTGTTCACAATGCTAATGTGTTTCACCAGAGTAGCACTGTGAACAGGCAAGCTGAAAATACAAAAAACAGTTCTGTTTTAGTGCCAGAGTTAAATCAACTCTGCTCAGAGTACATATTGTCCCAATCTACAGAGTGTTAAAGTAACACTGAAGCAGAGTTAAAGTTAATGGGACAATTAAAGCGATTAATTAAGTAATGATTGAGCATTAGTAAAGAAAACCCACTGTTAACAATGTTGAAGATGAACAACTACTGCTCAGGCTTTTAGACATGAAAACTTACCACATAATCCTCAACAGTGGTAACTCTGCTTCAGTGTTACTTTAACACTCTGTAGATTGGGACAATATGCACTGTGAGCAGAGTTGATTTAACTCGGGGGATTTTGCTGTGGCAGTTTCAAAGCATATCTGAAAGGTTGACTTTTAAAAGAAGAAAAACATCCTGAGTGTTTTGTGATAACTGTTGTGTGATAAAGGTCTTGTTAGTTCTTGGTAATTTCCCTACAGTGAGGTAACAAACAAGGGCATCTTATCTTTAATCAAAATGAAAAGAAAAGCCGTCTGAATGGTGGGAATGGAGGGTTTGGATGATTTGCATAAGAAGTCCATTGAAAAATATTGCTCAGATGTTGCTCTTATATAGTTTAGGAAATACAATGTATGTAATTTGCCTGAAATATCAACTTTGTCTCAGAAGTTTCTCCTAAAGTTACGGACACAAATGAGCCAATTATTGATATACAGAGTATAGAGCTATAAAGTGAATATGGATAGATTAGATCAATTGGTCTTGGAAGAGTTAAAACCCATGAAGCCTTTCAGTTGCACAAAAAAGACTTTATAGTGGAAAAAAAGGTTCTTTAGGTTTAAAAAAAAAAAATCTTCATACTAAGAAAAAATGGTTGTGCATGTGTATTTTTTCTAATTTTTGAAGGCCAAAGTGTGGTATTTTACATGCATGTGTTTATTCATAAACTGAGTAAAAATAAAGATACATTGAGTCAAATTAAAACCTAGTAATTGAGTCTGTAAATACAGTAGAATTCAGAATCCAGAGGGCACAGTGTGGTCAGAAGCAACAAAAAAGGAAACCGTCATTTATTAAATTATTTGTGTTTCTGGGAAGTTTTTATTTTTGTTGCAATCCAGACTGCAGACAGGATCATTTTAGATTGGTGAATTTGAGGTCTGACCCCTGACCCCTCCAATTTAGGCCTGAATGTCCCAAAGGAGGGCAAAATGAAAGGAGGTCAAGTGTATATATCTAAAATATTACATGCTTCATTTTACATACAAAATTTTAGGACTTTCACATAACATTTCAGTAACCACAAACATTAGATTACAAGTTACTCTAAGTAAGAGTGTGTATTTTCAGTAAGTTGCAGGAGGAGGTAACCATAGCAACAGTTGGCTGCTCAAGTGCTTTTCATTAGGATTAATGGACAGTAGATGACGTAATGTCATTATTTGGCACTTTATTATAGATTTAAATGGATCCCCGTCAATTGTGCTGTATAAATCACACCCTACTACAGACAAAAATTGTTTAGCATTTTTGACACCGCATTTGTTGTTAATATCTGTGCATGTTAAAAGAATTTGGCAACAGAAGTGTGTTCTAGAAACCTCAGCTCCACACATTTCAAAGAATATTTGACCCAAAAATGAAAATGTCGATCGTACGACTGATCTTAATATTACGGTCTGTTTCCCAAAAGCATCGTAACTTAAGTAGCACTTGAAAATCATCGTAGATCTACGAGAGCTCTGGAGTAATCGTAAAGCCCTAAGTGCATCGTAAGAAGACAGATTTATGCAGTCACCTGCAGGACAATCGGCAGATTGCACCTTTAACTTTATTCAAGTGCAATGTGATTATAATATAAAGTTCTGATTGTTAAAAAGGGCAGAAAAAATAGAAATACACATCTAAATTGAATGACTGAACCAAAAAAAAAAATGAATAAAAGAAGTAATGTAGGAAATATGCTTCAAAGACTGGGGGGAAAAATCTCTCAATGACTTACTGACGTGCACGAAAACCAATGTATTGGACCCGGAAATAACTTCTCTATATAGATATTATATACTATAATATATATTTTTGTATAAAGTATATTGTATATTTTTATGTAAAGTATAATATTATTGTATAAATGTATTATATTATATTATATCAGAGTTGTCTGGAACGCAGCATTAGGTTAACATTTCAATAAACGGGTGTTTACTACAATTACGAGCCATTCTATAAGGTGACATTTCAGCACTTGACAAATGGATAGCGACTCCTAAGTAGCACTTAAAGCACGGCTACGTGCGA